AGTCTCACGTCAGTGACGTGGCCGTCATTGGGGGACAGACTGTGTGAGTCTCACGTCAGTGACGTGGCCGTCATTGGGGGACAGACTGTGTGAGTCTCACGTCAGTGACGTGGCCGTCATTGGGGGACAGGCTGTGTGAGTCTCACGTCAGTGACGTGGCCGTCATTGGGGGACAGACTGTGTGAGTCTCACGTCAGTGACGTGGCTGTCATATCAGGACAGACTGAGTCTCACTTCAGCCGCTTCCTTAGTCTTTCCATCCTGCTCTCAGACATCACTGTTCAAAAACAAATTGAAAAGGAACAGAAATCTACAATTTATTCTCATACTGATTTCTTATTTAAAGTGCAAATACTCACCACTTTAACAGAAACCTCAGGCTAAGCTCACTAGGAAACAAACCATTTTTTGTATTTCAACTGATGCAACTTCTCTCTTCAGTATAACAGTGTTATTAAGTCAATATGTGCAACATTTGCCCCAAGACAGTGTTTGATTGCCTCATGGCTCAAATAGATATAAATATCATAGGTGAATTTCAGAGAGGGCAACTTTGTGTTTCCTGTCAAAGATTGTATCTGAGACCTGGTACATATTTTGTTTTTATCTTTAACTGTAGTTACATAATGTATTAAAGCATGTAATGCGTGTGATACTGTACTGTATTCATAACAGGTCTTACCTGCTGCAGTCTGATTATTCTAACTGGATTGATGCCCTGGCTGTGTATCCAGAAGGTTACGAAGGCCCTGTTCACACCTGGTATTAACATGCGTCCTGGGTGATCCGATCACAAGCGGACAGAGCTAAATATGTCCGTTCACACCTGGTATTAACATGCATCTCCGCGTGCGTCTTGACTGACCGCTTTTAATCGCATCTCACTTTCCTGCAGCTCATTTAAACGTAAATCACTTCTGTATGCAGACATTAAAAGAAGGAGAAGCAAAAATCAAAAGCTATTGCCACATTCCAGGGTGAACAAAGAGCCATCATTGTCAAAATGAAATAAATGTATCTATAAATAAGTAAATTAATAAATAAGAATTTCAATAATTAAATTGTACTTTTATTTTTAAATAATTCCATAAAGGGTATTATATTTCTTAATAACATTTATCTTTTACGTATAATTTTTCAATTGTATTTCGTAATGACCTTATTTTCATTAGATTAAACTTTTCACATTGTACACATGTATGTATTTTTAGTATAAATGTACGCGTTAAAAAGGTCTTTCAGTACTGAGATATACCCAGGGCAGGCTAATACTTCTCCATTCAAGGGCAACGGGTTCTATCTGTAATGCATTATGTTGGTTGCCATATGATAATATTTCAGTTATTAATCATAACCAATGAATGTCAAAATTTGCGAAAATTTCACCAAAGAGGTTCATTGTTTTGTCTGATACGCTGAATTGTATGTCTGACTTGGAGCAAGTAAAGTAAATGAAGCGAAGTAGTCAGGGCTGGAGTGGGACTGAATTTCTGACTGGGAGTTCAAGCCCCCAGACAGACCAATATAAAACTATATAAACAATCTCTATGTATATGTCTTTTAACATATCCATTATCTAGGCTGTTGAACGCACATTCTTACCTACAAGCTTTAATTCTGCGTTCATGTAATTTTTGACGTTTCGTTTCACCAAAATTAATAAAGCATGGAGCAGCTTTGACATAAATAAGGAAGCATCATCAAACTGCACATTACATATATGATCTGGGCAAATTTCAAAACATCTTTAATAAATCACTTTACACAAT